GGTTGTCTATTGTGTCTTGCAGGTCTTATATATATATATATACAGTTAACAAATATGACTCATATATATTTCTTAATTTCTGAATTATTGCAACGAATCGACTAGAACGCGATAGTTTTACTTTTTCAATTATTTCCGCAACCTTTCGTTGCTTTTAATTGCTTAAATTAAAAATAATATACCGTATCGTTTATTCTACCACACATTATTACCCCCTCCAAAACACTAAGGTATTCATGACGTATTTAATTAATGAAATAAGGTACTTGATGTAATTATGAATATAAGTAGGTCATGAGCAATGCGCATAAACAAAATACATGGCAAGGACGTGTATAACAAGCGAAATATAAAAGAATGTAATTTCGACTCATTTCAGACAATCCTGGACAAAACATCTGCGACACTTCCAATTATACTGGACAAAATATCGTAATGTTATCGTAAATTTAGAAAACCTCCCCCTTTCCCCCACCATTCAATGTTGATTGGATTCGTAGAATACGGATAAAACGTCCAACATTGTTTTGGGGGGCGGAGGGGGGCAAACGAGTAAATTATTCCGGTCTAACTGGTAAAAAAAGCCACAAAGGAATGTTTTAATAGAGTGTCGCAGATGGTTTTGTCCAGGATTGTCTGTATCTTTCAAATTCAATAACCAAGGCATTGCGCATTAAAAATTATGTTTTAGCAGGACTTTCTCTTCCCGTAGTAACTATGGCTCACTATAATGTATTAGGCTTCAAGAAGCAAATACCACATGGTCAACAAGGTAATATAATACCCTCATGCAACGCTATGCTTCGATAGCTTGTATAGAATGCGATTAAGAATCATATGCGACGACTTGCGCGCGTTTAATATACGTCGGAGAGCAAGTCAATGTACCTCATAGTGTATATACCAACTATTTTGCACTAAGAATATTCTAAAATGCGTTTATCCATACTTATTTGTGTTGTTAGACAGACTAACGCTTAGCTGTTGAGTGGAAATATATTGCGTGACCGCTGCACTAAATGACTAATCCGATTTTGTTATTGTCGTATAATAGCGCATGCGCATTGACGGTGTACCATGGTACAGCGTGCACATATAAGAATATATATATAACCTTTTGTAGGGTGAAAATGGTACACCGTGGAGTATTTTAAAATTATTGCGCTAAATATTGTCTGAAGTAGGTTGGAATACTAAGCAACACACATTCTTTCAAGTCCGTTTCATTGGTTTGTATTATATCCCATAACTGAGGATATTATCACAGTCTTAGTGTATTGGTCAGTGGTACACCGTTAGGTATGACATTGGAAAAATATGAGAATTGATTTACCACACCAGGAAAACTTGTGTCAAAATGCATAATTCACAATTAAATAGTTGTCGCTTAATATTCTAAATATAATATGCCGTAAATACCAGAAACGCGGTAACTATATTGAATTTATTGTCCTTTAGTTCTACTGGATACCACACGCATTCGTCTATGTATAGACTGAATGTATAACCTATCAATATATAAGTTGCACGAACTCTCATGAAAATATATTTTTTGTGTCGTACATTGCATCTCATTCACTGATCGTTTGCATGTCCGTCTAGGCACCTTCTCACATGGTCGACTATAGGTTGTCTATTGTGTCTTGCAGGTCTTATATATATATATATACAGTTAACAAATATGACTCATATATATTTCTTAATTTCTGAATTATTGCAACGAATCGACTAGAACGCGATAGTTTTACTTTTTCAATTATTTCCGCAACATTTCGTTGCTTTTAATTGCTTAAATTAAAAATAATATACCGTATCGTTTATTCTACCACACATTATTACCCCCTCCAAAACACTAAGGTATTCATGACGTATTTAATTAATGAAATAAGGTACTTGATGTAATTATGAATATAAGTAGGTCATGAGCAATGCGCATAAACAAAATACATGGCAAGGGCATGTATAACAAGCGAAATATAAAAGAATGTAATTTCGACTCATTTCAGACTGTCTGTATCTTTCAAATTCAATAACCAAGGCATTGCGCATTAAAAATTATGTTTTAGCAGGACTTTCTCTTCCCGTAGTAACTATGGCTCACTATAATGTATTAGGCTTCAAGAAGCAAATACCACATGGTCAACAAGGTAATATAATACCCTCATGCAACGCTATGCTTCGATAGCTTGTATAGAATGCGATTAAGAATCATATGCGACGACTTGCGCGCGTTTAATATACGTCGGAGAGCAAGTCAATGTACCTCATAGTGTATATACCAACTATTTTGCACTAAGAATATTCTAAAATGCGTTTATCCATACTTATTTGTGTTGTTAGACAGACTAACGCTTAGCTGTTGAGTGGAAATATATTGCGTGACCGCAGCACTAAATGACTAATCCGATTTTGTTATTGTCGTATAATAGCGCATGCGCATTGACGGTGTACCATGGTACACCGTCAACATATAAGAATATATATATATATAACCTTTTGTAGGGTGAAAATGGTACACCGTGAAGTATTTTAAAATTATCGCGCTAAATATTGTCTGAAGTAGGTTGGAATACTACGCAACACACGTTCTTTCAAGTCCATTTCATTGGTTTGTATTATATCCCATAACTGAGGATATTATCACAGTCTTAGTGTATTGGTCAGTGGTACACCGTTAGGTATGACATTGGAAAAATATGAGAATTGATTTACCACACCAGGAAAACTTGTGTCAAAAAGCATAATTCACAATTAAATAGTTGTCGCTTAATATTCTAAATATAATATGCCGTAAATACCAGAAACGCGGTAACTATATTGAATTTATTGTCCTTTAGTTCTACTGGATACCACACGCATTCGTCTATGTATAGACTGAATGTATAACCTATCAATATATAAGTTGCACGAACTCTCATGAAAATATATTTTTTGTGTCGTACATTGCATCTCATTCACTGATCGTTTGCATGTCCGTCTAGGCACCTTCTCACATGGTCGACTATAGGTTGTCTATTGTGTCTTGCAGGTCTTATATATATATATATACAGTTAACAAATATGACTCATATATATTTCTTAATTTCTGAATTATTGCAACGAATCGACTAGAACGCGATAGTTTTACTTTTTCAATTATTTCCGCAACATTTCGTTGCTTTTAATTGCTTAAATTAAAAATAATATACCGTATCGTATATTCTACCACACATTATTACCCCCTCCAAAACACTAAGGTATTCATGACGTATTTAATTAATGAAATAAGGTACTTGATGTAATTATGAATATAAGTAGGTCATGAGCAATGCGCATAAACAAAATACATGGCAAGGACATGCATAACAAGCGAAATATAAAAGAATGTAATTTCGACTCATTTCAGACAATCCTGGACAAAACATCTGCGACACTTCCAATTATACTTGACAAAATATCGTAATGTTATCGTAAATTTAGAAAACCTCCCCCTTTCCCCCACCATTCAATGTTGATTGGATTCGTAGAATACGAATAAAACGTCCAACATTGTTTTGGGGGGCGGAGGGGGGCAAACGAGGAAATTATTCCGGTCTAACTGGTGAAAAAAGCCACAAAGGAATGTTTTAATAGAGTGTCGCAGATGGTTTTGTCCAGGATTGTCTGTATCTTTCAAATTCAATAACCAAGGCATTGCGCATTAAAAATTATGTTTTAGCAGGACTTTCTCTTCCCGTAGTAACTATGGCTCACTATAATGTATTAGGCTTCAAGAAGCAAATACCACATGGTCAACAAGGTAATATAATACCCTCATGCAACGCTATGCTTCGATAGCTTGTATAGAATGCGATTAAGAATCATATGCGACGACTTGCGCGCATTTAATATACGTCGGAGAGCAAGTCAATGTACCTCATAGTGTATATACCAACTATTTTGCACTAAGAATATTCTAAAATGCGTTTATCCATACTTATTTGTGTTGTTAGACAGACTAACGCTTAGCTGTTGAGTGGAAATATATTGCGTGACCGCCGCACTAAATGACTAATCCGATTTTGTTATTGTCGTATAATAGCGCATGCGCATTGACGGTGTACCATGGTACAGCGTGAACATATAAGAATATATATATATATAACCTTTTTAGGGTGAAAATGGTACACCGTGAAGTATTTTAAAATTATCGCGCTAAATATTGTCTGAAGTAGGTTGGAATACTAAGCAACACACGTTCTTTCAAGTCCATTTCATTGGCCTGTATTATATCCCATAACTGAGGATATTATCACAGTCTTAGTGTATTGGTCAGTGGTACACCGTTAGGTATGACATTGGAAAAATATGAGAATTGAATTACCACACCAGGAAAACTTGTGTCAAAATGCATAATTCACAATTAAATAGTTGTCGCTTAATATTCTAAATATAATATGCCGTAAATACCAGAAACGCGGTAACTATATTGAATTTATTGTCCTTTAGTTCTACTGGATACCACACGCATTCGTCTATGTATAGACTGAATGTATAACCTATCAATATATAAGTTGCACGAACTCTCATGAAAATATATTTTTTGTGTCGTACATTGCATCTCATTCACTGATCGTTTGCATGTCTGTCTAGGCACCTTCTCACATGGTCGACTATAGGTTGTCTATTGTGTCTTGCAGGTCTTATATATATATATACAGTTAACAAATATGACTCATATATATTTCTTAATTTCTGAATTATTGCAACGAATCGACTAGAACGCGATAGTTTTACTTTTTCAATTATTTCCGCAACATTTCGTTGCTTTTAATTGCTTAAATTAAAAATAATATACCGTATCGTATATTCTACCACACATTATTACCCCCTCCAAAACACTAAGGTATTCATGACGTATTTAATTAATGAAATAAGGTACTTGATGTAATTATGAATATAAGTAGGTCATGAGCAATGCGCATAAACAAAATACATGGCAAGGGCATGTATAACAAGCGAAATATATGAGAATGTAATTTCGACTCATTTCAGACAGTCTGTGTCTTTCAAATTCAATAACCAAGGCATTGCGCATTAAAAATTGTGTTTTATGCAGGACTTTCTCTTCCCGTAGTAACTATGGCTCACTATAATGTATTAGGCTTCAAGAAGCAAATACCACATGGTCAACAAGGTAATATAATACCCTCATGCAACGCTATGCTTCGATAGCTTGTATAGAATGCGATTAAGAATTCATATGCGACGACTTGCGCGCGTTTAATATACGTCGGAGAGCAAGTCAATGTACCTCATAGTGTATATACCAACTATTTTGCACTAAGAATATTCTAAAATGCGTTTATCCATACTTATTTGTGTTGTTAGACAGACTAACGCTTAGCTGTTGAGTGGAAATATATTGCGTGACCGCAGCACTAAATGACTAATCCGATTTTGTTATTGTCGTATAATAGCGCATGCGCATTAACGGTGTACCATGGTACACCGTCAACATATAAGAATATATATATATATAACCTTTTGTAGGGTGAAAATGGTACACCGTGAAGTATTTTCAAATTATCGCGCTAAATATTGTCTGAAGTAGGTTGGAATACTAAGCAACACACGTTCTTTCAAGTCCATTTCATTGGCTTGTATTATATCCCATAACTGAGGATATTATCACAGTCTTAGTGTATTGGTCAGTGGTACACCGTTAGGTATGACATTGGAAAAATATGAGAATTGAATTACCACACCAGGAAAACTTGTGTCAAAATGCATAATTCACAATTATATAGTTGTCGCTTAATATTCTAAATATATGCAGTAAATACCAGAAACGCGGTAACTATATTGAATTTATTGTCCTTTAGTTCTACTGGATACCACACGCATTCGTCTATGTATAGACTGAATGTATAACCTATCAATATATAAGTTGCACGAACTCTTATGGAAATATATTTTTTGTGTCGTACATTGCATCTCATTCACTGATCGTTTGCATGTCCGTCTAGGCACCTTCTCACATGGTCGACTATATAGGTTGTCTATTGTGTCTTGCAGGTCTTATATATATATACAGTTAACAAATATGACTCGTATATATTTCTTAATTTCTGAACTATTGCAACGAATCGACTAGAACGCGATAGTTTTACTTTCTCAATTATTTCCGCAACATTTCCGTTGCTTTTAATTGCTAAAATTAAAAATAATATACTGTATTGTACATTCTACCACACATTATTACCCCCTCCAAAACACTAAGGTATTCATGACGTATTTAATTAATGAAATAAGGTACTTGATGTAATTATGAATATAAGTAGGTCATGAGCAATGAGCATAAACAAAATACATGGCAAGGACATTTATAACAAGCGAAATATATGAGAATGTAATTTCGACTCATTTCAGACAATCCTGGACAAAACATCTGCGACACTTCCAATTATACTTGACAAAATATCGTAATGTTATCGTAAATTTAGAAAACCTCCCCCTTTCCCCCACCATTCAATGTTGATTGGATTCGTAGAATACGGTTAAAACGTCCAACATTGTTTTGGGGGCGGAGGGGGGCAAACGAGTAAATTATTCCGGTCTAACTGGTAAAAAAAGCCACAAAGGAATGTTTTATCGGTTTTAATAGAGTGTCGCAGATGGTTTTGTCCAGGATTGTAGCTCCTGAAACACTTCTGCACGTAGTAGCTGGTTGCCAATTGTATCTAGAACGATTCACGTGGAGACATGACTCCGTTCTAAACTTTCTCGCAACAAGCCTGCAAACCGTAAGCGGCTCACATCTTTACGTGGATCTCCCAGGGTACAAAAGTCCATCAATCATCACTGGTGACACCTACCGTCCAGATTTGCTTCTTTCAACCTCAACCGGAAGACTCTATATTGTTGAACTTACAGTTGGCTTCGAATCAAATCTTCAAAAAAACGTTGAGCGTAAAAAATCAAAATATAAAGAATTAATTAGGGAACAAAATGAACATTTCAACTCAGTAAAATTTGTAAATCTTTCGATTAGTTCTCTTGGTGTTTTCAGTAAAGGATGTTCTACTTTCATAGAAATGCTTAATGATTTTGGTTTTCAAAAGCAACATCAGAATTACTGTATTAGAAGAATGACGACGATTGCAATCCGAACTACGTATTATATATTTTGTTGTCGAAACAAGGAATGGATGAATCCGGAACTGTTAAGTGTTTAAACGTTGTACTGTCATTTTGTCATCTTAATAGTATAATTTTTGTGTATATAATCAGTGATTTAAGTAGCCAGTTGTAAATTACCTTAAATAAGTGAGATTTGCAATTGTATATATAAGCTAAATATCCATTTAATAAAGTTTTCATTATTATACGGTTAAAGAGTTAAAGAAAGCTTTACAAAATTTAAAATCCAAAAAGGGTGAACTCAGTGAAATTAAATACGTATCGCGTACATTGCGTGACAGGCTCCGTAACAATGGCAACGACGCCGATGACTTAAATGACAGTGAGTCGTTTAATCACAACAAATATCTGGAACGAAGCTTTTGGGGCTGTGTTAAAAATATAATCAATAGAAAAGACGCAGTATTACCATCATTTGACATGACTGATTGCCTTTCTTAAATCTCTGGCTAAAATTAATCCTAACAAGCTATTTGTAATTCCCAGCTGGATCCCAAAGTTATCTGATCCTGCAGTTCAATTTAACCTTGACCCCCCGAACTATCAACAAATTACGAATGTTATACGCAAAATGAAATCGTCTGGTTCTCCTTGCCCTCTTGATCAACTTTCTATAATAAGTTTCAAGCATTGTCCTTATCTGAGAACTTACCTTACTGAGCTAGTTCACGATATTTGGCTATCTGGAACTGTCCTCACTGAGTGGAAAAGAGCATGTACCATACTAATCCACAAGAAAGGCAATAATAATGACCCTTGAAATTTCCGCCCCATAACACTCGAATCCATACCTTTAAAAGTATTTACATCTTGTCTCCGAAACGCAGTATACTCCTTCCTCGCATCTAATAACTTCGTCGAACACAACATACAAAAAGGCTTCACCCCCAACCTATCTGGCACTCTAGAACATACTGCACAAATGGCTGACATTATTAATAAAGCTCGGATCAGACAACGCTCTGTTGTCATCACCCTACTTGATCTTAAGAATGCCTTCGGCGAAATCCATCACAACCTCATTCAATCCGTATTTGACTACCACCATATCCCTGATCATATAAAATTTGTTATAAAAAGTTTATATACTGATTTCCAAACCTCGATAATTACCTCTGAATTCCGCACTCCATTTATGACAGTTGGCCGTGGTGTATTGCAAGGAGATTGCCTCAGTCCTCTTCTTTTTAACATGTGCTTCAATACATTCATTCAGCATATCAAGGCTGAAAAGTACCGTCAATTTGGGTTTTCCTTCAAATTACTAAATCCCATCCATTGGTTCCAGTTTGCTGATGACGCGGCTGTAATTACTGGCCAAGAATCCGAAAACCAACATCTATTAAATCGATTTTCTATCTGGTGCCAGTGGTCCGATATGATTATCCGAGTTGACAAATGCAGTACCTTTGGCATTAAAAAAGCGATCACAAAATCAGTTCAGTACTTGCCAAAACTCCTCATCAGCAATCAACTAATACCAAAAATCACTATTGGAGAATCATTTCAATATTTAGGACGTTACTTTGATTTCCACATGTCGAATGATAATCACAAAACTGAACTAACCACCCTACTTAATGAACTAATGTCTGATATTGACTCAAAGCCACTACACCCCAAAAATAAACTGCTCCTCTACAGTCGCTACGTCTTGTCCAAGTTAGCCTGGCACTTCACCGTCGCAACACTCTCTAAAACATGGGTTACTGAAAATATCGACTCTATTGCCAACAAATATATCCGCAAATGGCTTGAAGTACCAGTATCAGTAACACTAAGTACTGTCTTTCTAACAAATAACAAATTTGGCCTGAGTATTTATCCTCCATCTGTAAAATTTATCCAGTGTCAAACAGTCCTCCGAAAAGCTTTAAAATCTTCTCCTAATGAATCAACTAACGACCTGTGGAGAGCAACCAGTAACCATACTAATATCCAATATGACGCTTATAACTCTACTAAGGAAGTTCTCAAAGATTTTAGCCTGCGTAGCAGGCGCTATTTAGGGGGGGAGGGCGAAAAATGGAAGGGGCGAGAATGAAATAGCGCCTGCAGGAAAGCCATATGTTTTCTCATATTTCGCGTCCGTGAGCGGACGCGAAATTCTGATTGGCTAATCAGTCATCAGGGGTTTCCCAATTATATTCCCTGTGGTTTTAGATGAGTTCAAAATAGCGGCCTTAGTATTGACGAATTTGACGAAGTTCTTCCTAAAGTGATTAGCTATATTTAGTTGGCGACTGGCCACTGTATTTAACTGAAAGAGGAAGAAGATAAAGCAGTTCGGGACATTTTAAAAGGAAAAGATGTTTTTGCTGTATTACCGACAGGTTTATGGCAAAAGTTTGATTTACCAAGCTTTCGTACGAGCGCGTGATTATCATACGTCAGGGAAAGCAGCTATTATTGTAATATCCCCATTGAATAGCATTTATATTAAAGACCAGCCAAAAGATATGGAATGGCAATGTTTCACGTCCGTGGATGTTTAAATCACTATAATTACTATAATCACTATAGTTTATACGCTATAATCACTTTCAACTTAGCCTATTCGCTATAAATTGATCGAGAAAGTTGCCGCTTCGAGTTGCTGTCGTTGTTGTTAACAACTTGTCCTGCGATGGGGAATCTCGTTCTTCTGTGTCGAGGAAAAGACTTTCTATTTCTAGTACTAGATTTGACACACACATTTAATTTCTTTCTTTATACACTTCCGTTGTGTGATTTCTTGGCAACTGCGTTTTGCTTATCTCGCTCAGATCATCTGAAACCGTATTATTTTGTTCTTTAATTATCGTTCTTCCTTTACAAATTTATATAGTTCAACAACGTTCCTTATTTTCCTTACAAGGTTTACACACTCGATCCGATAAAGTTTCGCTTCGATTCAACTTAAAGCCAATGGACTCGCACGCGTTCGCTAAAATCAAATTCTGACTGCATTGTCTGTCTGACGGCTTAAACAAATTTTCAAAGGAAGGCTCACTTTCACATACTGCTTTTAGATTGCTGTTGCAAAACCTGCATGTATCGTTAGCGCTTGCCTATTTCGCTTTTCTACCCGCTTTTTTACAAATTTTTTTGGCGTTTTAAACATAGAAATACACTTTATAGTATACACGCGCATTAACTATGATTATGCATACTGTTGTGAAACCAGATCTGTCATTGGGAAAACCTTTAGTTGCGTCTAATCACTGATTGGCTTGTTTTTAATGGGCGGGACTTGGGCAGATGGGAAAACATATGGCTTTCCTGCAGGCGCTATTTCTTTCTCGCCCCTTCCATTTTTCCTCGCTCTCGCCTTCGCATTCCCCCCTAGCTTTTCCCACCCTCGCCCTCCCCCCTAAATAGCGCCTGCTACGCAGGCTACAAAGATTTCCGTTCTGGACACGAAAACAAACTCCTAAACCAATTAACCAGTCAAGGATCTTTTTTCTGCAGCGTTACGAAGTTCGCTTTACCTCAGCTTAGCAAGGTGTGGTCCGTCGCCCAATCAAAGCTCCCGAAAAACATTTACAACTTTACCATTCGTTACATTAACAACTCTCTTCCGACGCGCAAAAACCTAAACAGATGGGCAATATCTTCAAATTCAGGCTGTTCTTTTTGTCTTAGCCCTGAAACATTACTACACATAGTAGCTGGATGTCAGTTTTCTCTCGACCGATTTACGTGGAGACACAATTCAGTCCTGAACTTTCTTGCTCATCAGTTACAAACTGTTGACGGTTCTACTCTCTACGCTGATCTAAATGGATTCAAAAGCCCTTCAATACTTACTGGTGATACGTATCGCCCAGATTTGTTATTATCGTGCTCAAATGGTTCCTTATATGTGGTTGAACTCACCACTGGTTATGAGACAAACCTCAAAAACAACGTCAAACGGAAGAAGGATAAATATAGAGAATTATTGAGACAGCTAGGTAAAAATTTTAACCAAGTTAAATTTATAAATCTCTCCATCAGCTCTTTAGGTATTTTTGCAGAAGAATGTTATACATTTTTAGACATGTTAGATAGTATTGGTCTTGACAAAAACCACCAAATGTACTGTGTTAGGAAAATGATGACTATTGCTATTAGAACTACATATTACATTTTCTGTTGCCGAAATAAGGAATGGGAAAATCCGGATTTACTAACAATTTGACTTATCTCATTGTATATATATATATATTGCATGCACTTTGTTCTGTTATTTTAGTTTAGTATAATTGTGATTCAAATAGCCAACCGTAAGTTACCTTTATGAGAGAGATTTACGATTGTATATGTATGTAAAGAAAAACATTTAATAAAGTTTCCATTATTATTGTTATTATTATTATTATTATTACTATTATTATTTTTATTCTATTGATTGATTTGGCTTTATATCTTGTGAATAAGTCGAGGAATTCGTTTTGATAATGGCTGAGGAATTGCAACTGGCTTGGATGGGAGATTTCGACTCACTGAAACAGTTTGTCAGTGAAAAACTTAATCTAAACGGCGAATGGGTTAGTCCAGGAGGCGATAAGAAATTATTTAATGATGGCTACATATCTATTTCGTGGCGGAAAAATAAGAAAGCCTTGCTGATCGACGGCGATGATCGGGAAAAATTTAAGAGTAAACTCTGCAGGATGATCTGTGCGAACGACTTCAACAAAGGGAATATGTGCGAAGAAACTAAGTCTGTGAATGTTGAATGCCGGTCCGCCTCTCCTATCCTATCCGAGCGCCGCTAAGCGAGCTATCAACCGGGGTTGAAGGCATTAAACTCGATGTAACGATAGCAGAGCGGGAAATAGAAGTAAACAAGAGTGCTATAAGCAAAGTTGAGAGCAATCTACACGAGATAAATAGTGGTTACGAAGATCTTCGTCTACAGTTCGATGAATACAAGAAAATAACCGAAGTATTAATTCAGAGGGACAGGTTTCAACATTCGACAACATTTGAATATTCAAATGTGATCGATAAAGTTAAACCAAGCGAAACTAAACGGTACCAAGATGAAGTAAGCCGGCTCGAAAAGGACCTTTCTAGTGAGAGGGAGAAATGCAAGCGCTTGGAAGCTGATCTGTCGATTCTAATCAAAGGAAGATCTTGTGAAGTTAATGAATTGAACGATATTATTGCCTCTCTTGAATTTAAATTTAAAGCCACTGAGGCGACTAATGTCTCCTTGACAGATCTAATTAAGACCAAAATCTCCAATTCAAAGCAGAATGAAATTTTCCCTAGCAACACTGTCACAAAGAACGATAAACAATGCGCGGTCAATCATGTAGAACAAAGCGATCTTGTCCTTAATCGAGTTTTGGGTGAGGAAAACTCCCTGACCGACCTTGCACAGAAGTCGCACGTGACTTCCAATCTAATCGTTTGCAACAATAGACGCGTCGAGGAAGACTTATCAGTTAAGGATAATCAGTTAATTTTAAATAGTGATAACAGCCCAGCCGACCTACTACAAAGCCATAATAATAACCTGATCAATGGCGTCAAATCTCACGACGGTCAGCACATGAAAGGTAATTCGAATGCAAGGAAATTGCCAAATATCACCGAACTCAAATCCCTACCTCAAGTCCCTGGAGTGTCAGCTACCATGAATGAAGTCGACAACAAGGTTGACACTTATCCCATTATCGATGGTCACCACTGCAGTTTGAGGAACGTCAGTTCATCAACTTTTAATGTTCTTAAAGACATAGAATTTTTACCCCTAATCAGTCTCAACGAATCCCTAGAATACAGTCATCAAGCTCCTGTTGATTTCATACGTCCTTTTCAGGAAAATCCGGGACGGAAGCCACCCCCCTCGATTGTTCGATCCCACCAGCGATCCCCAGAATGGCTAAATCACCTAGTCCTTGTCCGTCAATTAATGAACGCGTAATTAGTTCCAATACTGCTGATATTAACTATCCAAAGAATATTAATATAATATCGCAGCGAAGTGATAAAAATAATTTGAATTCTGTTCCGACTATTGAACTTGTTTGCAAAATTCCTACTAGAATTACAGTTCGTCGAAATAATTTATGTGCCAAGACAAGGCCGAGAACTCATGCAAGGAAAGTTAATGTCAACAACTTAGTATGTGTAAATTTTGTCTCAAATCCAAAACCAGATATGTTACGTTTTGCAACGATTAACGCTAGATCACTAAGAAATAAGGTAGCTGTATTCTCCGACTATATTGTTGATCAAAATATTGATGTTTGTGTTGTAACTGAGACTTGGTTGAAGGACATGGACACAACAAGCATTGCAGGCGTTTGTCTCCCTGGATATTCATTTAAATCATTTCCCCGTCAATCTAACAGATCAGGAGGAGGCACAGGCGTAATGTTTAACACCAATTTATATGTCTCTCTTTCTGGTGGTGGAGAAACGCAATCCTTTGAATATTCAGAGTGGAATTTTTCCATACTTGAATATTCTATTAAACTTATTGCTATCTATCGTCCACCTTATTCCGTTGCTCACCCTGTTCTACCTGGAAAATTCTTTGAAGAATTCTCAAACTATTTGGAGGATATTGTTCTATGTCCAGAAATTCTATTGATTACCGGGGACTTTAATTTTCACTTGGATGATACGGTTAACAGAAACACGATAAAATTTAATGAGATGCTTGAAACATTTGGCCTCAAACATCATGTTTGTACTCCAACACATTCGTCCAATCATACACTGGATCTATTGATAAGTCGATCTACAAGTGACATTAATATCCTTTCGATTGAGAGTACTTTCTTTCTGTCCGACCATTGTTTTGTAGAATGTAAATTATCTATTCCCCGTCCGAATGACTCCAAAAAGCTAATTTCTTATGGTGAACTGAAAAAGATTAACATTGTTGACTTTAAACTTGATCTAAGCAATGTGAATTCACATTGCGAAAACATTGCACATCTTGATGAATTAGTGCATTGCTATGATGACGTACTTTCACGTATTTTAAATACCCATGCTCCTGTCCGAAGAAAGCTAATGAAAGTTAAGCGTTCAACTCCTTGGTACAATGACGAAGTAAGACAATTGAAAGTAAAGCGTAGGAGACTAGAGAGAAAGATGCGGAAAACAAAATTAGAAGTAGATTGGACTGCCTATCGGAAAATATGTAACCGATATTGTTACTTGTTGAATAAAGCCCGAACTGATTATTATACTTCCCTTATCAGTGATAGCTCCAACGATCCAAAGAATCTTTACAGAATTGTGAGCTCCCTTTGTAATGCACCGCATGAAGATCCCTTACCACCTCATGACGATCTTGGTCAATTAGCAAATAGGTTCAACGAATATTTTTTCCGCAAAATTGAATTGATTAGAGAAAATGTGGACAGTATCCATGTCGATCCTCCGTTGGTGCATTACCGTAATCCTGAAGTCAAATTAAAATCTTTTAAGATACTTTCTTCCCAGGATATTCATGATGTTATTATGCAATTGTCCAGTGCCAGCTGCAAGCTTGATCCGATCCCATCATGGCTAGTTAAAGTCTGTTGTCTGGAACTAATTCCCTCTATCACCAAAATTGTAAATTTATCCTTGCAGGAGGGTCGTGTCCCAGATCACTGGAAAATTGCTTTGCTGAAACCAAATCTGAAAAAGTCTAGCTTGGACCCAGTATTTGAGAACTTTAGGCCTGTGAGCAATCTGTCATTTCTTTCTAAGATCACTGAAAAGGCAGCCGCCAACCAATTGCTGAACCATTGTGAAAAACATGCACCTCTCCCTACCTGTCAATCTGGCTTCAGGAAATATCATTCGACAGAGACGGCTCTGCTAAAGGTGCAAAGCGATATTCTTCTGAGTATGGACAGGCGGGAAGTGTGTTTTCTTGTACTCTTGGACTTAAGCTCAGCGTTCGATACAATTGATCATAAAACTATCATTGACGTATTGGAGTATCAATTTGGAGTGACGGATAGGGCTCTTGAATGGATAAAATCATATCTATTGAACAGGAAACAGAGAGTTGATCTGGATAACAATTTTTCTGAAGACTGCGATGTTAAGTACGGAGTGCCTCAAGGGAGTTGTCTTGGCCCCATACTTTTTCTGCTTTATGTATCCCAACTATATGACATTATTG